CCCCCCGACCTGGAGTGGGATGGACTGCATGGCCAGGGGCCTAGCCTCCGGTCAGGGGCTGCTGTCTGGCCTGGCTGAGGAGGCGGTGTGGGGTAGGGGCTTGTTCCCCACCTCTCTGCACCCTGGAACAGGCAGGGGCCAGCTCCAGGGCTCTTGACAGGAAGCTGAGCCTGAGACTACATGAAGATTCATCACCCAGTGGGGGACACTTCTGCCCCCAAGGTCTCAGGGGAGAGGGCTCTGGCCTGGAAGCCCCCAATAGAGTGTCTTGGGGTGGCTGGAGAGTGGAGAGACTGGCTCTGTCAGCCCTGGGCTCTGATGACAGGGAGTTGGGAGGGTGACCTGCCTGCCTGAAAGGACATGGGTAAGGGAGTGTGTGCAGAGGAACAGGTGTGGACCGGATGGGCATTCCCACACCCAAGGGGTGATGGGCAGACTGAGGCAGCGAGTCCCCTCCAGGGGTCAGCTCTGACCAGGCTCGGGGGATGCAGGCCAAGCTGCCAAGCTCTCCTACCTCCCACCCCGCAGTTCCTTACCTGAGGGAAAGATGAGACCTTGGCACCTGTCCTGTGTAGGACAAAGGGCCACAGCTGCTGTTTAACCCAGGAAAACACCTGCCACTGGGGAATGACCGCCTGGGGACAGGCTACTGCTGGAGGGCACTGCTTCTGGGACTACCAGACAAAGGCGCCCTGCAGAGAGGGGCAGCTCATGGGGTCAGTGTGCCGGGGGCAGGGGTCAACCTCCAGGGTCTCCTGGTGGGGACACCGAGCCCAAGCTGCCACCTTGATCTGTGTGGCTCAGATATGTCACCACCCTCCCTGACTGTCAGGCGAGCTTGGTCTTGGGCGTGAGTGGGGTGGGGTGTGGAGTTGGGGCTGCCCCTCTGACTCTGCTGGCCCCAGCCCTGGAGCGTGCGTGCCCTGCGCTCAGCAGCTTCGCCTGGGCTGTTTTTCTGCAGCCCAATTACCGCAGAGACACTTGCTACCACGGAACCCATTAAGTGTAATTATGAAGCCTTCCCGGGGCCGTGTAATTACATGTGGTTTTGAGGAGCTGCCCGTGTGTGCCGTGGGCCGGGCTGAGGCATGCATCCTGTCTACCTGCCAGGCGGCGGCCTTGGCCCCAGGGGAGTGCTGGGGGGGGGTCCTACATGTTGGGGGGTGCTGGTCCTCCCCCTCCTCTCAGCTAAGGCAGGGGGCAGGGGAGCCCCGTGGCTGAGCATACACTCCTCCAGAAGCACCCACCCCCGCCGCCCTCAGCCCCTGGAGCACCCAGACCCCAGGCAGGGCCTGCTACAGCATTGGCCTGCGGCAATTATTTCACCTTCCCCAGCCTCAGGGTTTCCGTCAGAGATATGGGGTGGCACTGCCCGGGGATCTGAGCTGAGTGGGTGGCAGGGTGCCGGCTGCCCAGGTTCCGGGAAGGATACCACTTCCGTTCCTTCCTCCCTCCTCCATCCTGAGTGTCGCCCAGGAGGGGCACAAGGTCAGGCCATTGAGGGTGCAGGGAGCATGGGGTCCAGAGGCCTATGTGTGGGAGAATGAGGGGCTCTCCCAGTGAACAGATTGCCCAGTAAGTCCTTTTTACAGGCCCCCCCCCCCCACACACACACAAAAGGAGGTACTGAGCTGAAGCTGTGGCCTCTCTCCCTCGTCTGCCTTATGCCTGACTGACCTGCAGGCTCCTCTTGGCCCAGTGGGCACCATCACCGCTGTTGGTCTTGACTCAGGGGAGGGGTGAGGCTTCCCTCCAGGAAGTGGAGAGGCCTCCCCCCAGGGATGGTGTGTGTGTGTGTGCATTTGCGGTGGGGGACTGGGTCCTAGCTGAGGGTACAGACAGGCAGAGTATCATTCTCAGCGGTGAGGGCCCCCTCCCGGGCTCCCAGTGAAGCCCCTGGGGCATGAGGTCAGCCAGGTGGGCAATGCTCCTGGGGCTGGGCTGCTGGCGGGAATTGGTGGAGCCACAGCGCCACCTGATGGCCATGTCCAGAATGTGCATCTTTTCGCCACAGCCGCTGGGGTGCCCCCTCCCCTCCTGCCTGGGGGGTGCCTTGCGGGGCGCTCGGGAGAGGTGGGCGTGCGTCTGTACACAGACACGCGGGAACACGCACGCCTACGTGTCTGCTTCTCTGCTGGGTGTCAGCCCTGATCCCTCAGCCCTCCCCCTCTGTACCCTGCTCTGTGTATGGCTGGCCTGGCCTCCCTCCCCATGCTGGGACCCCTGAGATTTCCAGCTCAGGTCAGGCACTCAGCTGCCAGGACTGTCCTGTCTGGGTCCACCTTGGCCAACACGGGGTGTGGCCGCTAACCTCAGACCTGTAACTGCTGGCTGGAGGGTGGGGTGCTGCTGGCGAGAATGGGGTGCAGAAGGGGAGGGGCGGGCAGGGCGCCTGGTGAAGGGAGCAGCGGGCATCAGCTCCCCCGCAAGGCCCACTGTGTACTCAGTTTACCCCTAGGAGTGCAGGCTTTGGCAGTGGGCGTTCAGGGGCTGTGGTTAGGGATGCAGGCCTCTGACCTTTGGGAAGGGTAAAAAGGTCCCCCTGGGGGTGGGTCCCGGGCCCCTCCCACCGGACTACGCCCTGTGCATCCTTAACTCGCCGCCCGGAGGGCCGTACGTGGTTCGAGCACGTCAGCATGCTGGTCATCCTGCTCAACTGCGTGACTCTGGGCATGTTCCGGCCGTGCGAGGACGTGCAGTGCCACTCAGAGCGCTGCCGTATCCTGGAGGTAGGCGCGGCGCGGGCAGGGGGACGGCCTGGAGGCGGGTGGGGGTCACTGGCTGTGGTTGGCCTGCTGCAGAGGCGTGAGGATAGCTCTGCGCCCCCCCTCCTGCCCCCAGGCCTTCGACGACTTCATCTTTGCCTTCTTCGCTGTGGAGATGGTTATCAAGATGATTGCCCTGGGCCTGTTCGGGCAGAAATGCTACCTGGGCGACACCTGGAACCGGCTGGACTTCTTCATCGTTATGGCGGGGTGCGCCCAGGGAGGGAGGGGCCTTGCGTGCAGGTAGTGGGGTCCCTCTGGGGTGTGAGGGGTCCGGCAGCAGAGCAGACACAGGCTCGCACTGTGGTTGGGGGCGTCAGAGGAGGTCTGCCCAGGCAGCCACGGAGGGGAGCTGAGCCCTGCTGCCCCTCACGCCCCTAGCATGATGGAGTATTCCTTGGATGGACACAACGTGAGCCTGTCGGCCATCCGGACTGTGCGCGTGCTGCGGCCCCTCCGTGCCATCAATCGTGTGCCCAGTGAGTGACGCTGCCGCTGCTGGCTCTGGGGGGGCCGAGTGGTGGGGTTGCTGGTCTCTGCTGAGGGGCTGGAGTCCCTGGCTGGGTACACGGTGTCGGCCACTACCAGACAAAGGCGCCCTGCAGAGAGGGGCAGCTCATGGGGTCAGTGTGCCGGGGGCAGGGGTCAACCTCCAGGGTCTCACACACACACACACACACACACACCCCAGCCCTTCACTTCTTCCTGGTAGTGTCTCTGGCGCAGAGGTGGTGGCTCTGTCCTGGCCGGTCCTAGGGGCTCAGTGTGGGGACAGAGAGGCCCAGCTAGAGGGGGCGGAATGTTCCCTGTTTAAGAAGAGCTGGCACCAAGTGGGGACTTCTCAGACAAAACCCCGTCCCTGGCAAAGGCACCACCCTGGCCCCATCCCCTCTGAGTGCCCAGGACAGGGCCAGGTAGCCACACTTCAGCACCATGGACAGGCCCTGCCCCCACCAACAGGGACTCTGCTCCCACTGTGGGTGTTTATTTGGGGTGTAGGGTAGTCTGATGGTTATGCACTTGGGCTGCTAAGCACTAGGTCAGCAGTTGAAAACCACCAGCCACTTCAAAGGAGAAAGATGAGGCTGTCTGCTCCCAACAAGACTCACAGCCCAGGAAGCCCTATACGGCCCTCATGCAGCCAAATGGCTGTATGTGCGGGGAAGTGGTTTGTGTTTCAGGGTAGCCTGGTGGTTAAGTGTTGGGCTGCCAGCCACAAAGTCAGCAGTTCCAAACTCCCCCCCTCTGGGAGGGAAATGTCGAGGCTCTCTGCTCCTGTAAGGAGTGACAGTCTCAGAAACCCACAGGGACAGTTCTCCTCTGTCCTATAGGATCCCTGTGGGTGAGTGTGGAGGGAACTCACTGCCTTGGAGAGCACCCCACCATGGCCTGGTGACCGGAGAGTAAAGGCCCCAGGCTAGAGAGCCCAAATGGGCTTTGGACCATAGAGAGGCACCTGGGGTGGGGGTTGGGACCAGGGTCATCAGCGTGAGGTCTCAGGGGTAGACTATGGGTAGCACTTTGACCAGTGAGATCAGGGCTGGGATGCTTGTCTGCCTCATGTGGGAAGTTGGTTGTGGGGTTGGGAGCCCTGAGCCCTGAGCCCTGAGACATGGGGCAGAAGGCAGGAGGCTGTGGCTGGTGCCATGCTAGGTGGTGGGAAGCGCACGGACTCCCGAGACAGAGCCTCTGCCCCCTACCACTAATGGATCCCCCAAACTGCACCCCAGCAAGCAGCTTCTCAGCCTCATTTCTGGTTGGTGAGTTCCCTAGCCTGCCCAGAACTGGAACCAGGCATGAGTCTATACCCCTTGGGAATGCTCCACCCAAGCTGGACCTGAGCAAGAGGGTCTGAGTGGCCAGCGTGAGACCTGGGGTCCCCATCCATTTGTCTAAAGAGGGGATCAACATCAAGGTTCCTGGCTGAGGCCAAGGGCATGAGGGGGTGGGGGCTTCAAGCACTGGGCTGCACCTCCCCCAGCCCCCTCGGAAGAGGTGGTCTTGAGTTGCAGGCACCTGTGCCCACCTGGACCCTCACCCCAGAAACTGGCTCTCTGCCAGGCAGACAGTGCTGTGTCCCCTGTAATGCCAGGGTGGTCCCCGCCACCAGCTGTGCGTCAGCACCCTGACCCCGAATGGAAATCAGCTCTGATTTGTAGGATCTGGTTCCAAACCGAAAGGATTTTTAATTAAAACTCAGCAAACCCAGCTGTGTAATCACGGCTCCAGAAATCCCAGTGCTCCGGGTTGCAGGTGGCCGGTCGCATGTCCTCAGCTGCCCACGCGGCAGGGCTGAACAAGCCGCCAGGTGGCCATATGCAAGGGACCACCACTCTCGTGAGGAGGGAGCTGGCCGGGTGTGGGAGGC